TCTAAATCAGACAGAAGTTGCTCAGGAATTAAGGTCAGCAATCAATAAGTGGGACCTCATTAAACTAAAAAGCTTCTGAACAGCAAAAGAAACAATAAAAAAAAGTGAGGAGAAAACCCACAGAATGGGAAAAATCTTCACCAGTGACACATATGACAGAGGCTTAACATCCAGAATATATAAAGAACTCAAAAAAACAAGCAAGAAACCAAATGACTCAATTAAAAGATTGGCTAAAGATCTGAACAGAGAGTTCTCAAAGGAAGAAATAAAGATGGCTAAGAAACATCTCAGAAACTGTTCAACATCATTAGTAATTAGGGAAATGCAAGTTAAAACCACCCTAAGGTATCACCTTACCCCAATCAGACTAGCTAGGATCACAAGAACAAATGATACCAGATGCTGGTGAGGATGTAGAGAAAGGGGAACGCTCATTCACTGCTGGTGGGATTGCAAACATGTGCAACCCCTGTGGAAAACAGTGTGGAGAGCTCTTAAAAAACTAACAAAAGGGCTGGAGAGATGACTCGGCAGTTAAGAACACTGGTTGCTCTTGCAGAAGACCCGGGTTTGAATCCCAGCACCCACATGACAGCTAACAACTGTCCATAACTCCAGTTCCAGGGGATCTGACAGCCTCTTCTGACCTCCATAGGCATTGCATGACACAGGTGCACTTACCTACATGCAGATAATACATGAATACACATAAAATAAAAATAATAAAATTTTTTTAAAATCACAAGTGAAAAAAAAGAATAGGAGGTAGGAATTGGCTAGGCAGTTAGGGTGAAAAGACCCCAAAGGAAAGTAGCTAGTTTCTTGGCTAAAAGTCAAAATGTCCTTAGGACTCTTAGCAACATTGTGTGTTCCAAAGGCCAAAATTGTCAAAAGTATTTGGGAGCTTTTATCTAATCCTTAAAAGATTTTAGGGTTACCTCTTCTGAGGGGGGAATGTTAGAGTAGCAAAAAACCCAATTAAAAAAAAAAAAAAAGAGCACATGCTCGAAGTTACCAGAAAAAAGAGATGGGGTGATATGGGAGGAGTTGGAGGGGACGGAGTGGGCATGGATTTGATCAAAACACTTTATATGCATGTATGAAATTCTCATACATTTTGAGGCAGGGTCTCCCTGTAGCCCCAGCTTTCCTGGAATTAACTATGTAGATCAGGCTGGCCTTGAACTCACAGAGATCCACCTGCCTCTGCCTCCCAAGTGCTGGGACTAAAGGCGTGCACCACCATGCCTGGCAATATATTATTTTTTTAAAAAAGCAAGTGCTAGCCGGGTGTAGTCTAGCAGACCACTTGGGTTTGGTTCCCAGCACCCATATGGCAGCTAGCAACCATCTGCAGTGACATGCATAGGTATGCATGCACAGGTGCACTTACATTCATGTGCACAAAACACTCACACACACAAAATAAAAATAAATATATCAAAAAAAATTTTTTGAAAAAAGATTTCTTTCCAGCAGTAGGATTATAGTTAGCCAGACAAAGCTGACCTCTGGTGATACACACATCCATGTGCCTGAAAGCAATTCACCCATCGCACTGTTCTCTAAGCATGCCGCTGTTAGGTTTAGAAAGGAAATGTTCACAGGCAGGTGTGTTTGAATACTTGGGCCCCAGTGGGTGGCACTGTTAGGAAGGCTGTGGAACCTCAGAGTCATGGCGACTACCTAGGAGAAGAGGATGGCTGGGCCTTGGGGATTTTGACTATCTACTTTCTCACCCGGCCCCCATGAAGACAAGCCATACCAAAAGCTTTCATCATCAGGCACCAAGTTGCTGTGGCCACCATGCCTTCCGCATCATGATGGCCTGACATCTGAACCATGAGCCAAAATACACCTTTTTTTTCCTTGTTTCTTGGGGCTGGGGAGAGTAGCTCAGTGGTAAAGCATATGTTTAGCAAGTAGGAAGCCCAGGGTTCCATCCCTAGCACACACAAAAAACAAACAAACAAACAAACAAAACCCAATAACAACACAAAAACCAAGAGGCTGGAGAGATGGCTCAGTGGTTAAGAGCACTGGCACTGGCTGCTCTTACAGAGGACCTGGATTCGGTTCCCAGCACCCACATATCTGTAATGCCAGTTCCAGGGGAGATGCCCTCTTCTGACCTCCTTGAGCACTGCATGGCACAGGTAAACTTACATACATGCAGGTAAAGTCAGGCGTGGTCGTGCACAAGGCAGCTACTGGGAGACTCTGTCCCCAAAACACCAAAAACTAAAAAAAATAAAGCAGAAAAAAACTTGTTTGTTCTAAGCCCTGAGGATATGTGACCAATAGTTCACCCTCAGGAGACCACCAAGGTCCACATTCCATCCCTGGGGCTTGGTTGTTAAGGACCATGGACTCCTTAGCAACAGGGTAAAAAATGGCTTCTTCAGCTGAATCACCCCCTATGATGGTTGCTGCCCAGGACACTTGGGCCTGTCGTGCCTCACCTGGGCCATGCCCTTGGTGCCAGTCACGTAGGCCGTGTTGGAGAGGTTGCAGGTTATGCTGCAGGTAAAGCTGCCGTGGACACCTCCTGGGTACTCCAGTAGCACACTGACAGTGTCATCCACACCTGGAAGGGAGGTACAGGGCAGCACAGGGCTGGATCACAGAGATGGGTCCCAAGTCAGACTGTGTGAGTCTCAAACTTTGCCTGGGGAACCTTGGTCCAGACACTTAACCTGTTTTGTTGTTGCTGGGTTTAGTTTATTTGAGACAGGGTATCCTGGAGCCCAGGCTGATCTCAAACTTGCTATGTACTGGACAATGACCTTGACCTCCTGATCTTCTTGCCCCCTCCCAAGTGCTGGGATTATAGGCATACTCTACCATGCTTGTTTGAATGGTTTTAGTTCTTTAAAAAAAAATTTTTTTTTGGCCTTTTTGAGACAGGGTCTCCCAGTAGCCCCAGCTAGCCTGGAACTCGCTATGAGGACCAGGCTGGCCTTGAACTCACAGAGATCCACCTGCCTCTGTCTCATGAGCGCTGGGATTACAGGTTTGAACACACCATACTCTGAGTTAATCACATACCTCAAATGAATAAATTGTGTGTTTTCTGCATTATGTCACAGGAAAGTTCTTAAAAAGTAAACTAACATCTGGTGAGATGGCTCAGCAGTTAAGAGAACTTGCTATTCTTGCAGAGGACCCGGGCTCCATTCCCAGCACCCATGTAGGGTGGCTGACAACTGCCTCTAACTCTAGTTACAAGGGATGCCCTCTTCTGGCTTTCTGGTACACTACTCATGTGGCATACATTCATACACACACACATCCACATAAATAAAATGAAATGTTAGCTGGGTGTGAAGGCTCACACCTTTTATCCCAGTACTCAGGAGGCAGAGTCAGGCAGATCTCTGTGTGATCAAAGTCAGCCTGGTCTATATGGAGAGTTCCAGGCCAGCTGAGACTACAGGGAGACCCTTTCTCAAAACAAAGCAAAACAAAAAATAAAATCTTTAAAACAACAACAGCGCTGGGTGTGGTGCTGCACACTTTTAGTCTCAGCACCTGGGAGGCAGAGGAAGGGGGATATCTGGGAGTTCAAGGCCAGCCTGGATTACACAGTGAGTTGAGTTCCAGGCCAGCCAAGCCTACATAGTGAACTTTATTTCAAAATAATAGCCTGACCTGGTGGTGCACACCTTTAATCCCAGGACTTGGAAGGCAGAAGCAGGTGGATCTCTGTGAGTTCAAGGCCAGCCTGGTCTACATAGCCAGTTCCAGGCCAGTTGGGGCTACAGAGAGGCCCTGTCTCAAAAAAGAAAAAAAAAAAAACACCCCAACAAATGAATGCTAAAAAGAAAGAGGTCAGAACTCTTTCCTATTACATCTTTCTGAAACTCAATTTTTAAAAAGTTTATTAAAATCACTTTCACAATGACTAATAAGGGGTTAATGATAGAACTTCCTTTTTGTTTGTTTGGTTTATTTATTTTGGGGGGCTTTTTGAGACCGGGTCTCTCTGTAGTCCAGTTAGCCTAAAACCCACTAGGTAGACCAGGCTGACCATGAACTCACAGAGATCCACCTGCCTTTGCCTCCTGAGTGCTGGGATTAAAGATGTGAGCCACCACACCTGGCTTCTCCAGCCCCTTTTAAAAAATATTTATTATTTTTATTTTATGTGTATGAGTATATTGCCTGCATGTATGTAAGTGCACCCATGCCATGCAATGCCAACAGAGGTCAGAAGAGGGTGTCAGATTCCCCTGGAACTGGAGTTATAGATGATTGTTAGCCACCATGTGAGTGCTGGGAATTGAACCCAGGTCCTCTGCAAGAGCAGCCAGTGCTATTAACCACTGAGTCATGTCTCTATGTCCTATAACTTATTTTTAAAAATGTTATTATTTTTATGTTATGTGCATGGATGTATTGCCAGCAAGTCATGCAATGCCTGAGGAAGTCAGAAGAGGGTGTTAGATCCCCTGGAACTGGAGTTAAAGATGGTTGTTAACTACCTTGTGGAAGCTGGGAACTAAACCTGGGTCCTCTGCAAGAGCAGCCAGTACCCTTAACCACTGAGCCATCTCTCTAGCCCTCAGAACTTATTTTTTGGGGGGGGTCTTTTTGAGACAGGGTCTCCCTGTAGCCCCAATTCACTATGTAGATGAGGCTAATCTGGATCTCACAAAGACCCACCTGCCTCTGCCTCTGCCTCCCGAGTGCTGGGACTAAAGACATGTGCCATCATGCCCAGCAGAACTTTTTATTTATTTATTTATTTATTTATTTATTTTGAGACAGGGTCTCCCTGTAGCCTCAGTTGACATGGAACTCACTTTGTAGACCATACTGGCCTCAAACTCAAAGATCTGCCTACCTCTGCCTCCCAAGTGCTGGGACTGAAGGCATGTGCTACCACGCCCAGCTAGAACTCATTTTGTAAAAATGCTCATAACCACTGAGTCATTTCTCCAGCCCCAATTTTTAAGATTTATATTTATTTACGTGTATGTGTGTCTCTGTTTATATGTACTTGTGAGTGCAGTGCCCATGGAGCTCAGAAGAGGGTATCAGATCCCTGGAACTGGAGTTACAGGAAGTAATAACAGTTTTTATTTCTTAATTGCCTATTTGCTTCAACAGTTACTTTTTTATTAACTCCCACAACAATCCTATTATTAATATTTTACCAGCAAGTAATTAAGACTAGGAGATCCAGTCAGAGATCACACGATACAGTCTCATTGTACAGTTGGTTCAGAAATGATCTGTGCATAAAGGGTTAAGGTGTGGAGGATGGCATTGCCAGTCCAGTACTGAAGGAGATGTTGGGTCCTGCCCACCTTCCCTCAGATGCTCAAGATGTTATTTAGAATTACATCTCCCAGAATGCCAGGGGGCATTCACCTATCTATGGTGGACTGTGCCCACTGGTGCTTCTGGGACTGGTAGTTCTCTGGGTTTCTGGTGGTGTATAGTTGGGGGGGGTGTCCCTCCAGGTGTCTAACTCTCTGGGTGGGGGTGGGGCTAGAGACTTGAGAGAGAACCCCACCACCACCACCACACAGCCCAGCGTCTGCAGTACCTGTTTCATGAACCCTTCCCACAGCTGAAATCTTCTCTGGCTTCTGCCCACCAAAGACCATGGAAATGAACTGGATGCAGTAGATGCCTAGGTCCAGCAGGCTGCCACCAGCCTGAGCCCAGTCTGTGGCCCTGGATAATTGGCTCAAATTAAAACCTAATTCTATTCGGGCCACACGTAGGTCCCCCACAGTTTTCTGGGCCAGAATTCCCCGAAGAGCTTCCATGGCAGGAAAACACCGGCTCCAGATGGCCTACAGGTGACAGAGAAGGAAGTGAGTCATAGGAAGTGAATGGTCAGGACCCACCTGGTAATTGGACACACCTCCCTGGGGAACCTAGTGTTGAGGGCTCCCCACGGCTCTCCATTCTCCAAAGCACATCTTCTTCCTCCCCCACCCTCTGTCCCCACAGAGACCATCATCTGATTGAACTGCACCGTGGCCTCATACATGGCTTTTTTTTTTTTTTTGCGGGTTTTGAAAAAAATAGTTGTTGTTGTGAGATAGGGTCTTATATAGCCCAGGCTGTCCTCGGATTCACTATGTAGTCGTTGATGACCTTGAACTTCTGATCCCTTCTGATTCTCTTTACCTGTTAAGTGCTGGGATTACAGGTATGTGCCACCACACGCCAAGACTTCCAAAAGGGGCTGGATTGAGATAATGGGTGGTTTGTTTTCATTAAGATAGGGTCTCAGGCCCGGCGTGGGGGTGCAAGCCTTTAACTCTAGCACTCGGGAGGCAGAGGCAGGCGGATCTCTGTGAGTTCGAGGCCAGCCTGGTCTACATAGTGAGTTCCAGGACAGCTGGGGCTAGAGGGAGACCCTGTCTCAAAAAGACCAGAAGAAAAAAAAAAAAAAGATAGGGTTTAATATGTTGCCCAGGCTAGTCTCAAACTCCTGGGCTCAAGCGATGTTCTTGTTTACCTCACCACCAGGCTAAGTAGAAACAGTTTTTAGACAGGTAATTACCTTCACAGGAGTTCACTGGGGTTGGCCCTAAACCAATATGACCAGGGTCCTTATAAGAAGAAATTTGGGCTGGAGATGGCTCAGTGGTTAAGAGCATTGGCTGCTCTCACAGAGGACCGGGCTTCTCTTCCATATCAGCAACCACATGTGATGGACTAAAATATATGCAGGCACAATATTCATATACACAAAATTAAGGGGAAAGGGGCTGGGCATGGTGGCACACGCCTTTAATCCCAGCACTCGGGAGGCAGAGGCAAGCCGATCTCTATGAGCTCTACATGGTGAGTTACAGGCCAGCAAGGACCACAGGGAGATCTTGAGGAGCGACTGCTCTGCTCTGTCCAGAAATTTCTGTCAGGAACTCCAGCATAATTCTTTCAGTAGGGTCTTCCCAGTCATTCACACTGGATGGTGTGAGCACCAGCTTGGTTTTGTCCCTTTTTCTTGCTAGTTACTTTCTGTTGCTGTGATAAAAACACTAACCAACTTGGGGAGAAGTTTATTTTATCTTTGGTTACAGTTCATCATAGAGGGAAGCCATGGCAGGAGCTCAGGGCAGGAACTGAAGTACAGACCCCGGAGGAATCCTGTTTACTGGCTTGCTCTCCTGGCCTGTGCTCAGCCTGCTTTCTTATACAACACAGGACCAGGAATGGCACCACCACAGTGAGCTGGACCCTCCGACATCACTCAACAATCAAGAATTCAATGGAGGAAATTCCTCATTTGAGGGTCCCTCTCCCCAGGTGAGTCAGGTTGATAACTGAAGCTATCCAACATACTTGCTTTCCAGGCAGAGAACTCCGGTCTCCCCGCTGGCTGTTATAAGTGCCTTATTTGAGGATGCTGAGCTAACTGTCTGATACTTGCCTTTCTGGTTTATTTTTTTTTTATGTGTATGCGTGTATTGCATGCATGTAGGTAAGTGCACCCATGTCGTGCAATGCCTGCGGAGGTCAGAAGAGGCTGTCAGATCCCCTGGGACTGGAGTTATGGACAGTTGTTAGCTGCCATGTGGGTGCTGGGATTCAAACCCAGGTCTTCTACAAGAACAACCAGTGTTCTTAACAGCGGAGCCATCTCTCCAGTCCTCTGTTGTTGCTTTTTAACTTTTCTTTGCTCAATACTTTTTTAAAAAGATTTATTTTTTTAAGATTTATTTTATTCTTTTATTTATTAGTTTTTAATTTTATGTGTATGAGTGTATTGCCTGTATGTATGTAAGTGCAACCCTGTCATGTAATGCCTGAGGAGGTCAAAAGATGATGTCAGATCCCCTGGAGCTGGAGTTACAGAAGGTTGCTGGCTGCCATGTGGGTGCTGGGAACTGAACCTGGGTCCTCTGCAAGAGCAGCCAATTTTCTTAACTGCTGAGCCATCTCTGCAGCCCCAAGATTTATCTATATTTTTTATGTGTATGAGTGTTTTGATGCATGTATGTCTGTGTATATGTATGTGCACCACGTGCATGCAATGTTTACAGAGGTGAAAAGAGGGCATCAGATCCCCTGGAACTGGAGTTATGGACGGCTTTAAGCTGTCATGTGGGTGCTGGGAACTGAACCTGTGTACTCTGTAAGAGTAGCTAGTTCCCTTAGCTGCTGAGCCATCTCTCCAGTCCAGAAAGATCCACCTTAATTGTGGATGAGACCATTCCCTGGGCAGAGGATCCTGGACTGCATAAACTGGAGAAAGTGAGCTGAGTACTAACTTGTACTCATTACATTCTGCTTCCTGACTGTGGATGCCATGTGATCAGCTCCCTCAAACTCCTGCTGTGAGGACTTCCTTACCATGATGGTGTGTACCCTTGAAGTGTGAGCCAGAATAAACCCCTCTCCCTTAGGTTGTTGTGGTCAGAGTATTTTATCACAGCAACAGGAAAAGAAGCTACACTTGATCTAGTCAAAAGGTCAAGAAGTAATAGGAAAATAAACCAAGATGAGGCCTCTAATCTGGTCAGGGCATCAATGGCTAATCATTAGCCCATCGATGGAATCATAATTTGACACTGTTATCAGGAAGTAGGGCTCAGGGTCTGGAGAGATGGCTCAGTGGTTAAGAGCACTGGCTGCTCTTGTAGAAGACCTGGGTTTGATTCTTAGCACCCACATGGCAGCAAACAACTACTCATAACTCCAGTTCCAGGGGATCCAATGCCTTCTTCTGGCCTCCGTGGGCTTTGCATAACACAGGTGAACTTATACACATGCAGGCAATACACTCATACACATAAAATAAAAATAATAAATAAAAATTTTTAAAAAGGGGCCGGGCATGGTGGTGCAGGCCTTTAATCCCAGCACTTGGGAGGCAGAGGCAGGCAGATCTCTGTGAGTTCAAGGCTAGCCTGGTCTACATAGTGAGTTCCAGGACAGCTGGGGCTACAGGGAGACCCTGTCTCAAAAAGACCAAAAAAAAAAATTTTTTTTTTAAAAGAATAAAATAAAATGAATTAAATTTTAAAAATCACTAATTTTGGAAGTCACAAGGGTGAGTGGTACATTTTTAGTCTCCTATTAGTTTTGCCATAGATGACTGTGATTGGAGCCATATAATGGATTAAAAACTGTCCTTCGTTAAATATCACCTCCTGTGTTGGGGTGTGGGGGTGCAGCCCTTCACTATCTTCCCCTGTTCTCTGGGAGAAAGATGCTTTTTGCCAATAATTAACTTCCCAGGAAAAGAAACTAAAAAGGCACAAGGCATTACTGTTCTTTCTAATCAGTATATTTGGTTAGATAAAGAGAACCACCAGTAACCTACAGATAACAGCAACACGTGCTCCAGTACAGAAATGCTCTGTCTGACATGCCTGCCTACAACTCCTGGATGTAAGTCCTGTGATACCTAAACAAGATGGCCACTGTGGTTATGATTTGCTTGCTTTCCAAATCCTTTTCCTCACCCCAACAACTTGCTCTTGAGTCGTTGGCCTAGGAGCAATGAACTTGGGTTTGAGGCTTCAATAGATGCTAGATTCAACTACATTGTGGCAAACACAGAGGCCATCTTGACTGTGGGAAAACTCTGGCTACCATGTTTAGTACTGGCAAGTGGTACTACATGGATGTCAGAAGGGTCCCTCTAGGCTTACCTCCATAAGGAAGAGGCCCCGTGATTGGGCCTCTGCAATCATCTCCCGCACTTCTGCCAAATTCACACCCATGGGTTTCTCGCAGAGGACAGCCTTGCCTGCTGCAAGGCAGAGGAGCACGGAGGCCTTGTGCTGGGGGTGCTGATTGGCGATGTAGACCACCTCTAGGGTAGGAAAGAAGGAGAGCAAGAGGTCAGCAGCCACACCCACAATGAGAGGCCTGGTCCCCAGCATTCAGGGACCAGGTGGTGAATGTCATCTTACAGAGGACCTGGGTTCTCCCATTGGAAAGGAACTACCCAGCACTTGGGTAGCTGTAGGTAGTTTGAGAGCAGCCTGACCTACAAAATGAAACCGGTCTCAAAAATACCAATGGCTGGGGATACAGTCAGATGGCAGAGCACTTGCCTAATGTGCGGGAAGCCCTGGGTTCCATCTTCGGTTCTGCTAAATAAATAAATAAAAACAAATTCTCACCAGGTTCCCTAACTTCTTGAGAAATTGAAGCCTTGACCTAATTGCAGAGGTCTGGTCTCCCAGGTCACAGTTCATCTGGGAGCCCAAGGTAGGAACTCAGGACAGAAACCTGCAGGCAGGAGCTGGAGCACAGGCCATGGAGGAACACTGCTTACTGGCTTGCTCCCCTGGCCCCTGTGCAGCCTGCTTTCTTATGCAACACAGGCCCACCTACTCACACCCACCCACCCACCCACAGTGGGCTGGGCCCTCCCATATCGCTCAACAATCAAGAAGATGCCCCATGGACATGGCCACTGGCCAGTCCAATAGAGGAAATTCCCCAACTGAGGCTCCCTCAAGCCAGCTGTGTCAAGTTGACACTAAAGCTGTCCAGCACAAAAGGTAACTGAGCAAGTCAGGAGGAGAGAGCCAGTAAGCAGTTTCTTCTAGGTTCCTGCCTTGAGTTCTTGCCTTGACTTCCCTCCGTGATGGACTGTAACATGGAAATGTAAATCAAATAAGCTCTTTCTTTCCCTAAGTTTTTTTTGGTCACAGTGTCTTTCACAGCAACAGAAACCAAAGTCAAACGCAGTAGCCACACCCACAATGAGAACAGTCTTTGATCAAGTGCCATTCTATAATTAACTCCACCTCTTGTCCCAGCCCGACCCAGGCCTTTTCAAAGTCCATTTCTTTACAGTGGTGTGCCCTGATTATTGCACTACAGCCAGCAGTTGTGCCTACCTCCCCTGACCCATCTAGATCACTCACCCACATTTGGGTCCTTGGCCAACTCCTCGTAGGAGCCGTATGCCTTGGGGATGTTGTATTTCTGTGCAAATTCCTTTGCCCGGCTCAGGTCCCGGGCAGCCACAGCCACCACCTGGAGAGGCACTGGTGTCATACTGGAAGGGTTGAGGTGAGACCATTGCAGGAGACACATTAACTCAGACCTCACAGCTGTGTGTGCCATCTTCGTTTGCAGTGATATAAAATTCACCTCTACCCCTCCCACCGATGCACAGCTTGCTTTCCCACAGAGGAGCTGTTGTGACCTTCACTGAATAAATCCTGTTCGGTCTGCTGCAAGGTCTGGCTCTGGTCTTTTACCCACACTCTTTCTCTGTCCTTCTAAATCTAACACTCTCCTCCATTCATACCCAGGGTCCTTCCTCCCTCTCTCCGATCCAGCGTCCTCTTCTCCATCATACACAGGGCTCCTCCTTCCTCAGACCCTGAGTCACCTCCCTCAGACCTGGAAAGGACCTTCCTCCTCCAGACCTGGGGTCTCCCAAGGGAAGTGTACCTGGTGCTCAAAGGGAGGCAGTGAGTTCAGTGTGGTGGTGAAGTCGTTGGCTATGAGGCCAGCTGACAGGATGCCCCAACGGAGTGCCATCCTCACCACTGCAGGAGCCTGTGAGAAGTGATGCCTGGGTAAGAGTTCAAACCTGCTGATCCGCCCACCTGGAGGCAGGACCTTAGCCCCATTGGAAGTTTGCTAGTTGGCTCTGCCTTCCGAGAGGATGGTGCCTTCCTTTCTCCTCAGCGCCAACATTTGTGATATGAAAGCCCTGTGCAGCACACTTGGTCAACACCTTGACCCTTAAGTGTTTCATTGACACACCCTTAAGAGTTGTCCGGAGGAAGGAACAGACTTCCCTCCTCTAACCACCCACCCTCCTCCCTTCTCTTATCCTTCTCCTCTCATACCCCCTCCCCTCCAGAAGGCGAGACCAGCCTCCCCTGTCCTCTCCTCTCTCCTTTCCTCCTCTCTTCCCTCACACTCTCTCTTTCTCTATCTTAAATACTTATAGATTCAACCAGGGCCCTTGCATAGATCAGGCAAGTGGTCTGCCACTAAGGCATATCTTCAGTCTCGCTCACGCTCTCATTGAGACGGTGCCTTACCCTATAGATGAAGCCAATCTGGAACTCAGTACATATCCCAGGCTGACCTAGGCAATTGAGGCAATCCTCCTGATTCAGCCTCTCAAATGCTGGGCTCACAGGCGTACATCAGCCACATCTGTCTTACAGCACGCTTTTATACTTAAAAACTATGCTGAGGAAGGGTCTCAGTATATACCATAGGCTGACCTTGAATTCTCTATCCCTTTGCCTCAGCCTCCCAAGTAACTAGGATGACAGGCCTGGGCCACCAGGACAGGCAGGTGGCCTTGCCTATTACCCCTGAAGGGAGGGACACTGGTCTTTGAGTCCCTCTTTTTCACCTTAGCCCTGTTATTTTGGCTCAAGGCTGGGACTCTTTGGGGTCATTTTTCTGTTCTGGAAAAGGAAATCATCACAGCATCATTGCCCGAGGGTCTTAAGAGGATTAACCGAATTCTGTATTCTGTTCAACATAAAATGTAAGAACTAGGGGCTGGAGAGACGGCTCGGCAGTTAGAGTGCTTGCTGCTTGTACAGAGGACCCGATTCAGTTCCTAGCACTCATGTTGGGCAACTCACAACTGTAACTCCAGAGGGCTCTCATGCCTTTGGCCTCCTTGGGCATTTGTACTTACGTGCACATACCTATCCACACACAGACACATAATTAAAAATAAAAATAAGAGCTAGGCATGGTAGCGCAGCACTCAGGAGGCAGAGGCAGGTAGATAGATCTCTGTGAGTTCAAGGACAGCCTGGTCTACATAGTGAGTTCCAGGCCAGTCATGGCTACATAGTGAGACCCAGTTTTTTTTTTTTTTTTTTTTTTTTTGATACAGCACCTTGCTATAGCTCCAGGTGGCCTGAAATTTGCTGTGTAGACCAGGCTGACCTCCAACTCACAGAGATCCACCTAACTCTGTCTTCAGAGTGACAGTATTAAAAGAGTACACCACCATGCAAGGTTAAAAACAACTTATTTTTATTTAAAAATATTTTATTTTTTTATGTGTATGAGTGTATTGCCTGCGTGTAGGTACAAGTAGGTGCACTTGTATCATGCAATGTTCATGGATGTCAGAAGAGGGTGTCGGATCCCCTGGAACTGGAGTTATGGACAGTTGTTAGTTGCCATGTGGGTGCTGGGAACTGAACCCAGGATCTCTGCAAGAGCAGCCAGTGTTTCTAACCACTGAGCCATCTCTCTAGCACCATGGCCTCTTCTTTTGCCAGATGTTAGTGCGAATGTGAAGGATATCTGGAGTCACCATAGCCATGTTGGCCAATGAGGGAAGTGGCTTTCCAGTAACTCTCTCAGGAGTGAAGAACTCATTTCCTGGGTAAGTGTAAAGCCACCCTCTTCTAGTCACTTGTGTGTTCCTGTGTGTGTAGAATGGGCGTGGGATCTATGTCAGGTGTCTCCTCAACCTTCATCACCTTTATTGAAACAGGTTCTCTCAGTGGTTCTGAGCTTGCAGAATTGGCCAGGCTGGTCTTGAACTCCCTGTGTAGCTGAAGATAGCTTCGAACTCTTGGTCCCCTACCTCTACCTCCTGAGTGTTGGGATGACAGGTGTGCACTACAGTACCTGGTCTATGTGATGCTGGGGATGGAACCCAAGGCTTCATGCACACTAGGCAAGCATTCTACCAACTGATTCATAGCTTCTGTCCCTTGATACTTTCTAAGAAGTCAGACTCAGGGTATTCCATCTCTGTGACAGAATGGATGCCCCATAAAGTCATCTTGCCAGGAGCAGACAGAAAGTCTGCTAGACTTCTCACAAGTAAAGCTTTCACAGCCCATGAAAAGATGCAGAGAAGTCAGGCAGGTCACATGTAGGTGAGACTTGAAAAAGGTCAGTCAGCACATATACACAGACACACTGTTTATTTGTGCCAGGCTATATTTGGATGTAGCTGCAGCACACAGTAGGACTCAGCAGTGTCAACAGGGGCCTGGGATGGGGGGTTACCAACCTTCAAGGCTCCCACATGACACTAGAAATCTGGGACCTCAGCTACGGGTCTGGTCAAATCTGAGACCAGCATACCTGTGCCTCCAACCATGGACAGGAACTGAGATCACTTTTTTGGAGGGCAGAACATTGGAGGGACCAATCCAAACTCCCACACCTCACTGAAGTCGGGCACAGGATGTGGAGTGGATGAGCCTTGGGTAGCTGAAAGCAAACCACGAATGAAGGCAGGTTTGGACTGAGCACTCTGGAAAGGTGAGGGTCCTTTTTAATGTCATTCCTCCAGTGAGTCTTTGACTTGAAGACGGGGACAGAGGAAAGGACCAAGACCCTGAGGCTGTGAGGGCTGAAATCAGCCCTCGGGCAGAAGGGGCCTGAACAGCGGTGCCACGGGTGGCCCTGTCCTCTGCTCCACATGCCACACAGGCTCCGGCAGCTTTGGGGACACTTCATCCAGCTTACATCACCATCTGTAGGAACTTGAGGGCTGGGGTCACTGACAGGTCATAGGTGCTGGGAATCCAGCTGGGGCACCTCAGGAGGCTGTCCTGGAGCCTTCTTTTCAGAAGCATCCACATCCTTCTGGTCACCTGCTGGAGCTGGGACAGGGACATCATCTGCAGAGGAAATAGGGAGAGTGATGCTAGACAGGGAGTTTCCTAAACACAGGGGTCCAGACCTTAGCCTCTACTCTCAGACCTAGGGGTTCAGGCTCTGGCCCTCCTCCTTTAGACCCCAGGGATCCAGACCCCAGCCTCTTCCCTCAGACCCAGGAGTCCAGACCCCGGACTCCTCTCTCAGACCCAGGGATCCAGACCCCAGCCTCCTCTCTCAGACCCAGGGGTCCAGACCCCAGCCCTGTCCTTCAGACCCAGGGATCCAGACCCCAGCCTCCTCCCTCAGACCCAGGGGTCCAGACCCCAGCCCCCTCCTTCAGACCCAGGGATCCAGACCCCAGCCTCCTCCCTCAGACCCAGGGGTCCAGACCCCAGCCCCCTCCTTCAGACCCAGGGATCCAGACCCCAGCCTCCTCTCTCAGACCCAGGGGTTTGGACCACAGCCCTCCTCCCTCAGATCCAGGGGTCCAGGTTCAGCCCTCCTCCCTCAGACCCAGGGTCCGGGGTCAGCCCTCTTCCAGTCAGTGCACAGAGCCTGCATGCACCTGTGTCTGGGCGGAACTGCAGCTGCCCATTGGGGTTGGAGGGCGGGGCATTATTCTGCTGCTGCTGCTTCCTTTGTTCCATCTGCAGAACAGCCTGCAGGAGGCAGACACAGACATGAGACTGCAGCCCTAGCTTTCCAAGATGCTCAGGTCTTAGTCCCCTTACTCTCCTGCCACCTGCTGGGAGGACACAGTCCCACGGTCCTTGTTTCCTTTCTCACTGAGAGCTGGAGTTCATGCTAGTTAGGATCTAGTTATCTCCTGCTGTGGCTTAGGTTTTCCCTCACTGAACCCTTATCCTCCCTCTCCTGGGCCAAACATCCCCCCACCATCCTCACCCCAAATGGCTGCCACAGCATGGTCAGACATGGGAAATCCCCTACCCTTACTAAAGATGGTGGCTACCACCTGAGTATCTACCAAGTAACATGGCGGTCACAGGCCATCCCACCCGGTAGTCACCCATTTGGATAAACAACAGGGTCCCATGAGACCCAGAGGATTCTAGTTCCCCAACTCGTCACCTGCTGCAGCTCTCTCTTCTGGGCCTCTAGGCGGTCCTGGGAGCGCCCCAGGGCCTCTGTCTCTTGGCTAAGGCGCTGGGCCTTAGCATTTAGCTCCGCCTCCCGGACAGCAAGCTCTTCCTCAAACCGCCGCAGCTCCTCCTCTGTATAGGCCGGGTGCATTTCCACCGTCTACAGGGCCCGGGATAGTGACCATCAATGGGGCAGCCGTGGCCCACCCACACCAGAGAAGGATGCATCATATCAATGAAGACAGGAGAAAGGCGAGAGGCTGGCAACGTGTGTGTGTGTGTCTATGTGCCTATGCATATGTGTGTGTGTGTGTGTGCATGAGTCTGTGAGTTTGAGTGTGTTTCTATGAGTGGATGTGTGTGTATCTCTGTGTAGGTGTGTGTCTATGAGAGTCTCTCTGTGTGTCTATGTATTTGTGTGTACATCTGTATGTATATGTGGGTCTCTGTGTGTGTATGTGTGTGTCTGTGTGAGTCTCTCCTGAGTCTGTTTCTATCAGTGGATGTGTGTATCTCTGAGTGAACGTGTGTCTGTGTGAATCTGTGTGTCTATGTATTTGAGTGTGTGTGCATGTGTGTGTGTTTGAGTGTTTATAAGTGGATGTATGTGTGCCTGTGTGTGAATCTTTGTGTGTCTATGTGAGTGTGAATGTGGATATGTCTGTGTGTTTCTGTGTGTGTGTCTGAGCATGTATCTGTGTGTGACCTGATGGGAAGTAGAATGTTGGATAAAAAAAACCACAGAAGAGAGAACAGAGACTTGGAGATAGGAAAAAGGGAACAAAAGGGGGACGCAGGCCCAGGGTGGGGGGTGCACAGACAGCCAGCAGTGCTGAAGGAAAGGCGGATACTGGGATAGAGATATCCAGGCCCGAGTTGCTCCCTCAACCCTCACCTCCCATCCTTCTCCAGTGTCTCCAAACTCCTTCCTCTGTGTTGACACGAGGAACTCCTCCAGGGTCACAAGGCGGTCCTGGTTGGTGTCAACCTGGGGAGCCACAGCATGGTCAGACACAGCTGGGCCTGCTGCACCCCCCAGCCTGGTCCATCTTGCTCACATTCTTCATCACGTGCTCCCGCATGCGCAGACGCTCCTCCTCCATCTCCCGCATGTCATCCTCCTCATTCTTCGGGTCATACACCTTCTCCAGCTGCAGAGTTCAGGGAGGGGTGTGAAGTGGCCTGAGACAACCCCACTCCTGGTACTCACACTGGACTGCAACTCCCTGAAGGCCTTGGGGCTTGCTGTCACTATAGCAGCTTCTTTTGCCCCAGGGGCTGTTGGGACTTGTAGTTTTCCCCTGCACTCCCACTCAGGGGAACTCAGAGGACCTTCTGCCCTGATACACTCACCTCCTTAGTGAAGAGAGCTTCCAGTTCTTGCTCATCTAGGACACCATCACTGTTGATGTCTGGGGGATGAGATAAAAAAGGATCTTAGGGGACCAAGGGTAGTACAGGGCTGCTCCCCAAGGGACAAGCTGGTGAAGAAACTGCAGGGGACAAAGGCTCTGTTAACAAGGACGAGCAGTAGAAAGGTGGTCAGTAGGCTTCAGTGTCCCCTAGGTCTGCTGCCATAACAGACCTAATACAACATAATGTCTGTAGTGTCCAGGGGTCCTAAGAATGGGGTAGGAGATCCCTGTGGGGACTTTTCTCACCAGACTGTGTATATGTAGCACCTGGTGTTTTGGGCATAGTGGTGGCCCCTCTACCCAGGTTCCAGGGGCCTTGTGACCTTACGCCCTAGACACCCAGGCCAACTTCAGTGGCCACACTGCTTGCCTCAGACCCTTCCTCCTCTGCCCACTCTTTTTGGGTTTTGTTTTGAGACAGGGTCTTCCTGTAGCCCCAGCCTGGAATTTGCTGTATAGACCAGGCTGGCCTTGATCTCAGACAGACCCACCTGCTTCTGTCTGCCTCCTGAGTGCTGGGATCAAAGGTTTGTGTCACCATGCCCAGCTCTCTGCCCGCTCGAGCCCCCACTGAGGTGGCCAGGGACCTAATCTTGCAAACCCAGTGGTTTTCTGCCTACATTTGTCTTGGCTTCCAGAATCCCTTCCTGTGGACTCTAGTCAGTGCTCAGCAACCTTTGCCTGCTGACAGTTCCATCTTCATTTCCTCTTCTTTTATTTATTTTTTTAATTTTTATTTATTATTATTTTTTATTTTTTAAGTGTACAAGTGTGTTGTCTGCATATATGTGAGTGCACCCATGTCGTGCAATGCTGTGAAGGTCAGAAGAGGGCTTCAGATTCCCCTGGAACTGGAGTTAAGGATGGTTCATAGCCACCACTTGGGTGCTGGGAATCGAACCCGGGCCCTCTGCAAGAACAGTTAATGCTCTTAACCACTTAGCCAACTCTCCAGCCCCAATAATAATACTTAAGAAAAACAAAACATCCCCCCCCCAAAAAAAAACCAGCTCATAGAGCGCAAGCATAAGAAAACTTCAGATCTGTGTATTTTATGAATATGGAGGAAATTTTATAAGGAAATACTCTCAAAATAAACATGAAATATGAAAGGTTATAAATCATGGTGAGACTCTCTGTTGTGCAGGGGGGAGAGAGAGAGAGAGAGAGAGAGAGAGAGAGAGAGAGAGAGAGAGAGAGAGAGAGAGAGAGGTGAAAGTCAGAAGACAATTTACAGTTATTCCTCTCCTTCCACCATGTGAGCTCTGGGGATAAAACTCAGGTTGTCAGGCTTGACTGTAATTGCCTTTTCCTGCTAAAACCCTGTGCTCAGATCTGGGGACGAGAGGTGGGAGGTGGGGTGTCTGCCTGATGCAATATAGTAGCCACTAGCCACATGACCTAAGCACATTTAAATTGATTAATATGGGGGCTGGAGAGATGACTCAGTGGTTACAGGTGCACTTACATACACGCAGGCAAAACATTCATACACATAAAAAAATAAAAATAAATTTAAGATAATATGAATGATGATGAATATGCTATTACTATGGACTTGGGAGTGGGGATGTAGCTCAGCAGTGGAGCACCTATCTGGCATGTGCTAGGTCCTGGGTTCAACTCATACTGCTGCAAACACAAAAAACAAATTAGTAAAAATTTTTATAAAAGCATTTGAGTTTTTGATCTCACTGGGTCCCTGGCTGGTGGCTGCCATACTGGATGGGGCAGATGAGTCTATTGGGCAGTACCTCCCTGAGGCGCCACCCTTCCAGTTGCTTGAGTTGGATTCCTGAGACACCCCAACCCACTTACAAGTCATTCAGGCCATCTGCTAGTCCTATCAGCTTGACCCTCAAGCTGGTACCAGACTGGGACCACTTTTCTCTCCTTCCCCCAGTCCAGCATCTCTTGCCTAGTCTCAAATAGTCTGGATGGATTCCATCAACCCTTAAAGTAAACTCCATCCCAGACAGAACAAAATCCATGCCAAACCCTCTCCTTGGGGCTAAGGGTGCCTGCGCCCACCCTCTCTACCATCTCTATCCCTTGTAGCCCTGGAAACCTGCCTTCCCTGTGCACACTTACTGTTCCTTCATCTAGAAAATTCTTCCCCAATTGACAGCAGTGCTCTACCTATCATTTT